CCGGCGCTCCGGTCCCTCCGGGGTGATGCGCTTTTCTGTGTCCCGCTTAGGAGAGAGCCGCCTAGACTGGGCGGGACCCGAGCGCACCTCGGTCGCGGGGAGACGGCCCCCCAGGAGGGTCCGCGAGCCTTGGAGGGGCCAGTGGGTGCCCCGCCCCACACGGAACCCTTGCCCAGCCCAGTCCAGTCCTCCGGGACTCGTGGCGGAGGGTCCTTTCTCCTGGCTGCCCCAAGGGAGGACGTGAAATTGCCTTGCTCTCAGCAGACATTGGCAACAAAAGCCTGATCCCACCAGGTGAGGACAGAATAGGTTGTGTGTTTTGAGAAGTTGGGTCCCTTCAGCCTCCCCCAGGCTGCCCCCCACTGCCCTCTTGGGGCTCTGTGCCAGTTGGGAGGGGCAGGGCATCTCCAGTTGTTCTTCCAAAGCTTGGGTGAGGCCCAGGGGCACCCAGAGATAGAGCCCTGGGCTCAAGACAGGATCCTGGGCTTGCTCTAAACTTGCTATGTGACCTTAGCCCTGTCATCTTCTCAGCAGTGGGGGGATTCAGTCTGTTGGCACCAACCGAACCCATACCTAATTTTTTGTTGAGTTGGGTGAACCGGTTGCTAAAATGGCACTTGTAATCAGGGTTCCCTCTAAGGTGTGGAGCTGGCCAGCTATGTGGGACTTACAAATTTACATTTTTTGCTTCTTCTTCTTTTTTTTTTTTTAACATTCATCCTCCTTATGACATAATCTAGTTCTGTGTACTGCTTTCATCGTTCTTATTTAAATACTGTGTATAAAATTGCAAGCTACCTTGCGGTCTATATTTGTGTGCGTATTTTGCATTTAAAAGGTCGTTAGGGCTGTGGACCGGCTGTTAAATTATTTGAATTCCATCACTGCTTCTCAGAGACTCCTCAGGTACCTGCCCACACCTTGTTTCAGACCTGGGTTTGAGTCCGGCTCAAACTCAGCCCCTTGAGCCACGAGGGAACCTCTGTGCCTTAGTTGCAGGGAGGAAATGAATATTGATATTGAAATGTGATCTACAATCTTAGTTCATAACACAGGTAAGACAAGGGAACTCCTTGGAATACCCTGGGGGGGGGGGCGGTTCTCATTGATCGTGCCCATCCAGATCCAGTCCTGAGAGGTTCTACCTGAGCAGGTCTGGGAGGGACCCAGGAGCCAGGCGGTGTGAAAGCCCAGAGAGGGTGTTCCGAGCGCAGTGAACAGCACGACGATGGGGATTCAATTCCCTGCCATCGAGTTGATTCTGACTCATCGTGACACTGTTGTCATTGTGATGTGCCATTGAATGGGCTCTGACCCACACAGACCCTACACACCACAGGACAAAGCGATGGTTGGTCCTGCACCAACCTCCCAATTGTTCCTCTGCCTGAGCCCATTGATGCAGCCACCGTGTCCATCCACCTCGGTGAGGGCCTCCCTCTTTGGGCTGCCATCTCACTTACTAAACAGCTCACCTCTCTCCAGGGACTGGTCTTTCCTCAGGACATGTCCACAGTATGTAAGACAAAGACGTCTTGGCCATCCTGGCCTCTCAGGAGCACTCTGGCCACACCTCTTCCAAGACAGATCAGTTTGTCCTTGTAGTCGTCCACGGTACTTTCCACATTCTTCTCCAGCACCACGTTCAACAGCATCCACTCTTCTTTGGCTTTCCTAATGCAATGTTTTTTATAATCTCTTGACTGCCGCTTCCATGAGCATTGATTGTGTATCCAAGCAAGACAAAATCCTTGACACCTTCAACCTTGTCTCCATGTATCATGGTGTTACCTATCTGTCCGTTTGAGAGGATTTGGGTCTTCCTTACATTGAGCTGTCCCATCCAGACTGAAGGCTACAATCCTTTTCCTTCATTGGCGCGTGCTTCAATTCCTCCTCACTCTCTAAGCAAGGCTGTGTCACCAAGGCTGCAGGTGGTTAATAAGCCTTCCTCCCAACCTGACGCCACACTCTTCTTCATATGAGCCAGCTTCACGGTGGACCAGTGTGGTGAGAGGCTGCAGCCCTGATCTGAAACCAGGACCCACCACCTGTCTGTGAGTTTGTCATACTGCGGTGGCTTGTGTATTACCGTGATGCTGGAAGCTACATCGCTGGTGTTTCAAATGCCAGCAGGGTCACTCAAAGCGAATGGGTGTCAGAGGAGCTTCCAGACGAAGAGCAGACAATGAAGGAGGACCTGGCTCTCCACTTTGGAGGAAGAAGCCACTGAAAACCTTAGGCACGGCAACCCTCCAGGGCAGGGTGAAACTGCCCCTGTGGGTTTCTGAGACCGTAACTCTTCAAGGGAGCGGTGGTTTTCCACTGCTGACCTCACAGTTAGCAGCCCAACGTGTAACCGCTGTGCCAGCAGGGCTCCTCAGCAGGCATCAAATGCAGGGCAGTCTGGTGCTTAGTGAGCTTTCGTTGAGCGAATCCATGAGCCAAGGAGTGGATGCATGGATGGATATAGCCTTATTCCTTGGTTCCTTGTCCTGACTGGGGCAAGCTGGGGCTGGGGTCCCAATGGGGGCCCAGTCAGCCATTCTGATCTTGCCTCCCCCTCATCTTTCCAGGTCCCACCCAGAGGGTCCACTGGACCACAGGTGCTTCCCGACGGAACTCTTTTGACATGGAGCCAGAGGCAGGGAATGCTTCCTGCGAACATTTTGAGACGGACATGCACACTCAGTGCCTCCGTCAAAACTGTCCCCACCCCGAGGAACCCCACGGAGCCAGGCACCAGGTGGGCTGGATTCCTGAGAAGGTGGGTAGGGTGGGGTGGGGAGTTGGCAGTGTGGCCAGGGCTGGCCTGTAACTTGCAGTGTGAGCGCCGATGGTGCCCTCGCTGCGAGGCAGGGCCTCAGTTTGTGTTTCCCCTCTGTACCAGGAGCCAGCCGGACCATGTTCGGATTTCTTAATCCTCGCTGCTCTGCTTTTATGAGCGCCTGTCAGCCTCATCTTGTCTATTCCTTTACTGTCTGGCCCTCGCCATCCACTTGTGACTCACCCCGAATCAGACCTCTATGTCACCGCTGCACGTGGAAAACCGGGATCATGTCCAGAATATGGAAGGCTATGAAAGCAATGGGGGAACCCTGAGGACGTAGTGGTCACACATTGAGCCGCTACCTGCAAGATCAGCAGTTCAAAACCACCAATATCTCCAAGAGAGAAAGGCTGGGCTTTCTACTCCTGGGAAGAGTGACAGTCTGGGAAACCCACAGGGGCAGTTCTACCCATCCTGTAGGGTCGCCGTGAGTCGGCATCGTGAGTTGGTTTTCTTGTGGGTTGGTTTTTGTGGGTGGTAGAGTGTGTGCCAGGCGCCCCGGGTTCACAGGAAGACGTATGAGCACGTGTACCTACCTTGCTGCCATCAGAGTATGCCCATCCCACAGTGAGACAGCAACTCCCCTTCCAGCGTTTCCACCCTTTGGGTCCTCCCATGAGAGCTCCTCCTGTAAGGCCTGGCTCTCTGTAGCCCTTCTAGAACCCCTGACCTCCCCCTTTAACACAGAGGCAGCAAGCTCAGAGTCAAGTCCACCCTCCTGAACATTCCTGTTTCTATGTAGGCGTTTCAACTCTTTCCTTCATATCACTCTCTCTCCCTGCCCTGGAGTCGATGCCGAGAGCGGCTGGTGGTTTTGAACTGCGTACCTTAGGGTTAACAGCCCAGTGTGTAACCACTAGGCTGCCAGAGCTCCTTCGTCCTGCGGGGCACGCCTGCTAAAGAACAGCAGTGGCCGTCGAGTTGATCCTGACACGTGCTGACCCCGTGTGTGTCCTAGCAGAACTTCGAAGGACATCAGCAGACCTTTTGAGGTGCTTCTGGCTGGCCTCTGACCTTCTGGCTGGCAACTGAGTGTTAGTACCACCCACGGATGGCACCGAAATTCCAAACAAAACAAAACCGCAAGCCTACCACTATCGAGTCAGTTGTAACTCACAGCAACTCCATAGAGGGCTTCGCAGGCTACACATCTTTACGGGAGCAGGGAGCCTCCTCTTTCTTCCATGGAGGGGCTGGTGGGTTTGAGCTGATGCCCTCAGGGTTAGCAGTCCAGCGCTGACTGGACAGGGCCACCAGGACTCCAGGAAAGAAGCCCCGGGCCTGCAATTGCCCAGCCATCCCTGTCCTCCAAGGGCCAGTCACCCCCTGGATGGAGGTGCCCACCGAGTGTTGGTAGTGGTTGAGGCTTTGAGAGCTAGTTGTCTGTCAGGGAATTGTCTTTCGGCCTTGGAGCTGCCGAGGGCCCGGTTCCTCCTCAGTTCTGTTTACCTGCTGTGTGATCATATATCATCGACCCCCTCTGGGGTCACTCTCTCGGAGAGAGTGGAGACTCTAGAGCTCCCGGAGGATGTGGTGCTGTATCCCCAGACCACATGTGGCCCGTTTGACACGTAACCTGGAAGATTCTTTTTCCCCATTCAAATGCAGTCTTCCATTGCCCTGGTGGCATGTTGGGCTGAGATCCTCAAGGTCAAGTGTCAAACAGAGACTCTGGAGAAAGACGGGTTTTCTACTCCCGGAAAGAGTTACAGTCTTGGAAACCACAGGGACAGTTTGGCCCTGTCCTCCAGGGAGGCTGAGTCGGCCTTGGCTTGACAGCAGTGAGTTTTGTCTTTGGGATGGGAGTTTGCCCGGCGGCACATTGGATTCCCACGGCATGATTTTTGTTCACGTTGCTCAGTGACATTGGTTACGGTTTACACACGTGTCGGCCTGCTCTCAACTGCCAGTCTGCTGGTTCAGTTTCCGGGAACTAACTTCCCTGCCTGCTCACCTGTGCCGTGGGGTAAGTGCTGACCCGTGGTCTGGCACAGTGCTTGTCGAAGGGAACGCCTTCCCCTGGTTGCTGCTGCCGAGACTATGAACTGGTCTGTGACTGGCCGATAGGATCCCTCCAGGAGCGCCTTCCGTGCCAAGGTGAAAGGGTGATGGGCTTGGGTCCCTCTAGCCGCTGTCAGTCTAAGACAGAGGCCTTTCTCGGGACTTGGCCGTTTGGGGGCCCCCTCTGACTGGGACCGTCTGTTGTGCCTCCAGCCAGAATGGTTGTGTTGCCGGAGCTGCCAGTTCTTCCCTTTCCAAAATAAAGACTTAGTTTGAGAGGCACGGAGTGAGGTTTTTGCACGGAGAAATTGTATTAAGCATGGAGGAGCCAGTCAGGGTGCAGTATAGCTCTGATGAAACATACAACTTTCCTCTACTTCTTTAATTCTTCCTCCCCCCACGACCATGACCCCAATTCTACCTTACAAATCCGGCTAGACCAGAGCATGTACATGGGTACAGATGAGAGCCTGAAACACAGGGAACCCAAGACAGATAAACCCCCTCAGGATCAATATTGAGAGTAGCCATACCAGGAGGGCAAGGGGAAGGTGGGGGGAGAAAGGGAGAAACCGATCACAACGATCTACCTATAATCCCCTCCCTGGGGGATGGACAACAGAAAAGTGGGTGAAGGGAGACAGTGGTTGGTTTAAGACATGGGGGGATTATACATGATCAAGGGTTCATGAGGGAGGCAGGGGAGGGGAGACATGAGGAGCCGATATCAAGGGCTCAAGTAGAAAGAAAATGCTTTGAAAATGATGATGGCAACCCATATACAAATGTGCTGGGCACATTGGATGGATGGATGGATGGATTGTGACACGAGCAGTAAGAGCCCCCAATACAATGATTTAAAAACAAAAAACGAATCTCCCTGGAGAGAGAAATCAACACACCAGCCTCCCTGACTGGCTCTCTGGTGCCTCTCTCTCTCCCAGCTCATGTGAAAATAGGCTTTTAAACAGTGGAAGGAGTAGAGGCATTTTCTCTGGGTTAGCAGATTCTGCACATGCTCAGTCCAGATCTCCACCTTTGCTCCCAGGCCGCACCACAGTTGGAGGTGTAGTTGGGCACCATGTAGCCGCTCTGCTCTCGGGTTAGGTGCTTGACGTAGGCTGTCCGTCTGTCATTTTCTCCCTTGAGCCTTTAGCTTCCTTCCTTCTCGGTGGAACCCATCATTGCATCTCAGACACTTTGGAAACCCAGTTCACCAACCTCCAGTGTCAGTCTGATCCCCAGAGCTTCTATTCCACCCATCCTTACGCCCCCGGCCACAGCGCCCTCACCCCAGTCCCCAGCTTCAGAGATCAGACGCCTGAAAGTCTAGTGGGTCCATCTCTCATGCACTTGACCTTTCCCCAATGGATGGGGAAGGGCGGGGGCAGCCAGCACGGATCAGAAGGAAAGCTTGACTCCAGACAGATGTGCGTTTTACTTTCAGGTCTGCCACTCCCCAACTCCAAGACCTCGGCCCGTTGATGTCTTCAGCACTTAAAATGCACCAGCCATTGTGGCTGAACTGAGGTCGGGGGACGGTGGTCAATAAGACAGATAGGTCCCTGCCTTCCTGGAGCTTGTGGTCCAGCAAGGGGACCTATAAGAAACCAACCTGCAGGCAGACAGTGACGTAAGCATGTCGGCCGTGAAGGAGCGGTTGGTCGTGATCGGGCCCTGGGGGCTGCAGGGGACTGTCAGATGCTGGCATAGGCTGTGCAGACATGGATGCAGTGATGGTGAGGGGAGAGGAAGGGACCAGCACATGCAAAGGCCCCGAGGCAGAGGGAAGCGGAGCACATGGGGACCAGAGAGGGGCCCCCTAGGCAGAGACGCTCCGGCCTGGAGGAAGATGGGGCAAGGCTAGTGGGGCCTGGACTCACACAGGGGGCTTGGAGCTTTACCCTGGGAGCTTAGAGAGCCGCAGATAACGTTCCACAGAGAAACCATGGCTGGCTTTCCATTTTCCAGAGTCCCTCTGACTGCCGGGCAGAGAACGGAGTGCAGGGAGGTGAGCGTGAACTCAGGAGGCCAGTGGGACAAGGGACAATGACTTGCAAGAGGAAACAGGACTTGGTGACGGGGCAGATATCCACACACAGGGAGGCTGCAGGATTCGGGTCTTGGCTGAGGGTGGGGAGGCCCCCCCGCTGGCCCCGCAGGTGTCTCCCGAGGCAGGGTACTTAGGTGGAAGGTCTGCAAGGGGTGGGTTTGAGGTGCTTGTGGGACACCTCATTGGACACGAATCCAGCGCCATCGAGTGGACGCCGCTCCTGGCCACCTCGGACGTGTCGGTGGGGTCGAGCTTGACGTCACGGGGTTTCTTTGTTTATTGTTGCTGGTGACAACGTACCCCCAAAAGCACTCACCCACCCAGGAGTTTCTTAGGTGCCATTCAGTGATGGGGGAGGCCACACTTGGAGTTGTGCAGGCATTCACACCCGCCCTTTCTGGAGGCTCCAGTCCCCTGAGCACAAGCCCCCTGCCTGGGGCGGGGTCTTCAACAGCTGACCTGTGGGCAGTGGATCCCCCGTCTCTCGTCCCAGGCCCCTCTGGGCGAACTGGGCTCTCCAGCCTTTCAGCCAGCAGCTGAGAGCAATCGCTGCTTGCACCCCTCGGCCCCCAGGGACGCCCCACTGGGTGGTAGGGTGCATGGGGGGGAGAGGCCTGAGCTGCGTCAAGTCTGGCCCTGATGAAAGTCAGACTCAGGCAGCAGCTGTCAGGAGCTGGATCCAGAGCTCCCTGAAGCCAAGGCAAGAAATGATACCCAGACAGCAGCAAGGAGTCAAAATCCAACCTCGCTGCCATCGAGTTGATTGAGTTGATTCTGACTCATGGCGACCCTGCAGGACAGGGTAGACCTGCCCCTGTGGGCCGCCGAGACGGTGCCTCTTTATGGGAGTAAAAAAGCCTCATTGTTCTGTCACGGAGCTACACGCGGTTTCGAACTGCTGACTTTGCGGTGATCAGCCCAAGGTGAAATCACTGCGCCACCGGTGAAGAGCGCTTATGGAAAAACCCTTTGGAGCTTTCGATGGCTCTGAACGCTGCTGGCTTCTGTGAGGGGGTCAGGGTTACATTCCTGAACCGGGCCCCTGACCAGACACAGGTGGGGACCATTCCCTGGACCCAGAATGCAGGCCCCAGAGGCCGGCAATCACTGCCTCTTGGCTTTTTCTTTTGCCTCACCATCCTCCCTGCTGCCACCCAGACTGCCCCTGAGATCCGGCCTACAGCTGGCTGTCGATGAAAGGAGTAGACTGGCAGCACCTGCCCGGGCTGCCCGCCGGGCCGCCCCTCTCCCTGTCTCCAGGGTACTGAGCTTGCTTCTCGGCTCTTCCTCTTAGAGGGCTGGGTTCTGGAAGCTTGGCCCATTGGGCCCCTGGCTGTAGTTTGAACAGTCACAGCATGTAGTCTAGGAACTGGCCCCAGGCTTGCTGGAGCCCTCATCACACTGGGACACACAGGCTGCCCCTGGGGTGGAATCAAGGTGTCCCCCCGAGCTCCGTGAAGAAGCAGGTGGGTCCAGTTCTGACACCGTCACTCCTCTCCTGTAGACAGAGATGGCCTCAGGCCCCAGAGGACACAACTTCCTGTGTGAGGCCGAGGGAGGCCCCCACCTGTACGTGCCTGCACCGCTCATGGCTGACCCTCCTCGGGAGTCCATGCTGGCATGCCCCCATTCTCCACCATGCCCGGCCCAGTGCCGGCCGGGCAGGGGAGGGCTCGACGGGAGGCCCCTGCTAGGAGCCAGACACTCGTGCGTCCATTCAGCCTTCGTTGCACCGCACGTAATTCTATACAGTTTACATTCCTAAGATTCCACGGAATGTTTTTACCTTATGGATGGTATTTAAGGTAGATGGGCCCAGTCCAGTTCCTAAGCGCTTTACAAATATCGACTCCTTTAATCCTCATCATGGGCTCTTGGTGACTGGGAGCCTTCCACAGGGTGTGGCAAGGCTGGTTTCCCAGTCAGGGCACTTCGTACACAGCCACCACTCATCAGTGGACAGACTGGCAGCTCAATGTCCCTGGACTGTGGCTGTGATGCACAGCGTTCCGACAGACGGTCTAGGAAGGAAGGGCCGGTGGTCGACTTCTAAAGTCAGCCGACGGAAACCCTGTGAAGTAGGGCAGCCAGCGTTTTGTTCTGCTGGGAGTGGGGTGGACTTGGACGGCACCTGACAGTGACAATGACAGTGGTGACCCTGGGAGGGTCATCTTCACGACGAGCCCCAGAGGAACTCGCTGGCCCAAGGTCTCCATCTCCATTTCAGAGAGGAGAAAACAAAGCCCAGACAGGGAGAGCCGGCCGACCCAGGCGCCCAGCTAGGAACTGGAGGAGCCAGGACTGGGCCGGCCTGAGATCTGCCAGAGGCCCGGCCAGGCAGGAAATCAGAGCCAGGGACTGACTGCTGGGCCTGCTCCTCCGGCTGGGTGGCGCTGGGAAGCAGAGACAAGGTGGCGCGGCCCTTGGGGTCCTGCTGACCTGGCTGGGCCACAGCCTCATGGTGATGCTGACCAGCAACGCCTTCCCATTCACTGCGAGGTCCCCAGGGTGGCGGAAGCGCCAGGTGTGCCCGGGCCTTGATCTTACTGCTGCCCAGCCCTGACCCAAATCTCCCTGGGGGCAGGGGGTGAAATGAAGCTCAGGAAGGCCTGCGCTGGCCTCGTGGTGCGGCCGGCTCCCCAGCCCTCTCCTCGGCCCTGCCCAGGCCCTGCCAGGAGTGACCTTGGACCCCACAGAGGCTGTGCCCACCCCGGGGCTCTGGCCGGGCTGTGGCCTCTGGCCTGGGCTGCAGGGTCTCCAGGGCGTGCTGGGCCAGGCCCCGCCCGGCGGGCTCAGGTAAGCCTCCAGATCAGGTTCCTGCCTGGTCTCATATCCTGCATTGCTCTTGGCTGGGCCCAGCTTATGAAACAGTAATGAGGGGCCCTGCTCCCTTGGCCGGCCGGCCCCTCTAAGGTTTCCGCTGCCGCTGCCGCCGCCACTGGTGCAGGGAGTCGGGGCCTGGGAGGGCAGCAGCGTGGGGGCCGGAGCCGGAGCCCCCCGGGAACGAGGGTGCTGACAGACACCAGCTGCCACCTCCGAGCCCGCAGCCCAGGTAATCTGAGAAGAGGCGGGGCGCGGGGTGCAGTGGCCACCACGGTCTCCCACCGCCAAGTGGGGGGAGGGCCCTGCCACCCAGGAGAGGGGAGGGCTGGGGGGGCCTTCCCAGAGGGGAGCCTCCGTTCCCCCTGGGTGAGCCCAGCACCAGCCCTGGCCAGCTGAGGGCAGAGGGAACTGGAGGGAGGCCGGAGTGGCGGTGCCTCAGCTTTGGCCTTGACCCCCCAGCCCTGGAGCCCCCCCCCCCCCGCCCCTCCCTGAGGGACTAAATCATCCAATTTTCTTTTTTTTAATTTTAATTTTGGATCAAGGAGGTACACAGGCAAACTCTCAGTCCTAACCCCCCCTCCAAAATGCTTCTGCTACTGGCTCTTCTCTTGGTTGGTGATAGTGAGATCCCCAATCGTCTAATTTTCTCAGGGTCTTCCCCCTCTTGTCTTCCCCTTCTGCGGACCACCCCCTCCCCAAGTTCTACAGGTCTGCCTGCGAACACTCCCCCCTCTCCAGTCTTCCTCAGTCCTTTCCTTCCTTCTGGCTACAAGACTCTCTGCACATCCCTGCACACACACACACACACACACCAACATGCACACCTACGTAGACATCAATACACTTCTGCAAACATACGTGAATGTTGGCGCTATCCTTGCACACCCACGTGCACACGCACATAGACATCTGTGCACTAATAGCCCTGCACAATCACATGTACACCATACCCATGTGCGCACCTGGGCCCCAAACAAGCACACCCAGGCCTGCATGCCGCGCACATACCTGCAGCTAAGCCCATCTGTGCTCACCCACGTGCGTGTGCACCTCCGCCAGCCCCGGCTTGGGTCCCAGGGGCTCCCTGGGCCACATGGGTGGCCCCTCCTTGCGAAGGAAGTGGGAGATCCTGGGAAGAGTCCTCTGAGAAAACCCCCAGCCAGCCAGGTGGGGGAGGGGAGCCCCATGTGGGCCTGAGCAGGCTCCTGTCTCCACCTCCGTCCCAGGAGTCCGGGAGCCCTGTGCATGCTGAGGCGCTCTACTGCGACCTGCCCCGCCGCCCGCCTGCACCCCCAGAGCCGCTCGCTGCCTCCACCTCCAGCCGCCCGTCTGGTCTCGGCCCAGACCTCGGGCCAGAACGGTAAGTGCCACCCAGGGCTGCCTGGGGCAGGAGCCCTCACCCACTCCACCTTACACACCTTCGTGAGGGCAGTGTCTGGTTGAGGGGGTGGGTGGTGTGGGTCATGTGGCATAGGCAGTTCATCACCCTGGTCCCCTGAGCCAACCCTCCCAACCCTGGCTGTCTCTCCCCCGGAGGGCCTTGCCCACCCCCTGATGCTCTGAGACCGTGCTCAGCTTAGCTTCAGGGCAAGGGCCAGTCACGCACCAGCCCTCCAGTGGATGCAGCCCCCTCATTTCCTGCTTTTCATCACCCACCCAGGGCCCCTGTCACCCACCTCCTGAGCCATGCTCTCCTCTGGCTCTGGGATTCCATCCACAGCCCCTCATCGGCCTGAGCTGAACTGGGGCCCCTTTTGGGGGTCACGGGGCCTTGGGAAGGCATGGCCCTTGGGGAGGGGGCAGTGTCTAGACACCTGGGTTCCAGCTTCAGCTCCATCCCTGACAGACTGGGACCTGGGTGAGTTGAATCTTTGTGAGGGTTTCCGAGGCTCCGATCTTTCTGTTTTTGTGGGAGCTGCCTCGTTTTGCCCCCACAGAGCAGCTGGTGGGTTGAACTTCCAACCTGGAAACTTAGTAGCCCAATGCTCACCGGACGGATCCAGACCAGACGCACCGCTGTGGAGTTGATACCTGCACAAAGCGACCCTGTAGCACGGGGCAGAACTGCTTAGGAGAAAGACTGGGCATTGGGCTTTCCACCCGTCAACGTGCCAGTCTCGGAAACCCCCAGGGGGGCCACTGGGAGTCGCATAGACTCCCTGGCAGCGAGTTTGATTCTTCGGTGGCTCTGCCGGGGAAGCATCGGGCTGCTAACCACAAAGTTGGCAGCCCAAACCCTCTTGCTGGTCCACGGGAGAAAGATGCTGCTGTCCGCTCTCAGAAAGACCTAGAGCCTTGGCAAAGCCTCTTCAGGGCCACTATGGGCTGGAACCGGCTAGGTGGCGGTGGTTTGGTTTGGGATAGTGAAGTTGAGCCTCTTTGTGCAGGACTCGTCAGAGCCTTTCCTTGACACGGGGGTTGGGGGGTGGAGAGCGTTGTGCCAACTCTGAGCCCAGAAGCCTGTGTGACTCCCTAAAACTAGACACTCTCTTGGGTGTCCCTGCTGGCGTTCAGGCTGGCCCTGGCCCTGCTCCTGGAACCCTGCTGCCTCTCAGAGCCCCACCTTAGCCCACATGACTGTCTTGTTAGCTGTTCTAGACTTTAGAGCTCTGTTGCCACCCCCCTCCCTCCCCACCCCACACCCCCCAGCTCCAGTGACTGCCGAAGGCTGGGCAATGGCTCTGGATTACAGCACAGGCTGCCCCTCCCTAGCTTGGGGATCGTGGCCAGTCTTTGAGCCTCAGTTTCATCGTCTGTAAAATAGGAGTGAGGATACTCACTGGATAGGTGCCTGAGAGAAGGTCGGCGCTTTCTCCTCCCGTAGAGTGACCGTGTCGGAACTCGCAGGGGCAGTCCCACCCTGTCCTATAGGGTCGCTGTGGGCCGACGTTGACAGGAGGGCAGGGGGTTCGGTTGGGTTTGGAGTGGGAGCCCCAGGGGAGCAGTGTTAGAGGGCTGGAAAGCCAACCAAAAGCCAGAGGTGCAAAACCACCCGTGGACCCTCAGGAGCAAAACGAAGCAGTAAAGACAGACAGCTTTGGAGACCCTGCGGGGCAGTTCCACCCTGCCCTCTAGGGTCCCTCTGATGCAGGACTGCCGCCACGGCAGTGGAGCATGCTCTCTGAACAGGGGTCTGTGCTAGTTAGCGGAGGCCACCCGAGTCACGGGCCCGGCTACCAAGCAGATCTGTGGGCCCCTGTGTGAGTGTGTGTATCAGGGTCTGGGGGGTGGGGGTCCACACCTTAATTCTCTATGGGGAACAAAGCCCTTTTCCCTGTCCCAGGGGCCCATCATCAGGGTGCTCCACTGAGGGCCCCCCAGCTGGTCCCGGGAGCAGGAGCCCAGGACGTGAGGACCAGGCGGCCTCCCTGAGTGGCAGCTGCGACAGCGAGGAGCCCGGCTGTGGCCCTAGCTCCAGTGCTGGCGGTGACACCCCTGATGATACCAGCTGCTTGTCCTCGGTGGTGAGCTGGGGCCGGGGTGCAGGGGAGAGCAGGTCACACCTCTGTCCCCATCCCCAGGACCTCACCCAAACCGTCGGACAAGCCTCTCCTGTCAGGGCACTAGACCAAGGTTTTCTGGACACTCAGCTGCCTCGCAACCAGCCACTCAGAGGGCTGGTGCCCGGGAGGGGTGGGGGGTGGAGTCAGCTGTGCGTGCAGGGGGGTGGGGGAGGAGTAGGTTGCTCCGGCTGACTCCCCAGCAGGCACGGCTGCTGGAGTCCCTCGGGTCTTGGTGGGCTGGCGTGGATGGGGTGCCCAGAGCGAGGGCCACTGGGCCCTGCCTTGACCACACCCTGGTGAGTCCCTTGGCCAGTCTGGTGTAGACTCCCAAGGGACAGAGGAAGGAGAGCGGGCTTGCTGGGCTGGCAGAGGGTCAGGGGCCCAGCGTCTGGGCATTCACCCTATCGGGCTGGCAGGGGGCAGGAGAGGCAAGGATGTGGCAGAAGGACATGGGGGTGCTGAACACAGCAGTCCAGCTAAGTGTCGGCTCTGAGCTACATGCTCGGTGGGCGTGGGCTCCCCCCACCCCACCCGCACCCTCTCCCCAGAGCTCCAGGCTGTGATGGCCACACTATGGTGAGCAAAGGGAGACTCAGAGGACAAAGTGACTTCCTGGTAGGAGTCGCACATCTGGGCAGGGGTGGGAGGCTAGGATCTGCCTGGAGGGCAAGGGGGCTGCCCGGTCAAGTCCTGCCACCCTCCTGGCCCCCTCCCAATGGCTGAACTGACCCTGTAACTGAGCTGGCCACTCTCTAAATGGTCCTTCCTTTCCCTTCCCCCACCTGGCTCCTGCTGGCCCCGTTGTCCCCTGCAACCCCCTCTCCTTCCCTCCCCGACAGGACTGGGACACTGTCGAGAGGCAGGGGGTCCCCAGCGTGGCCGAACTCCCCAAGATGATCCCTCGGAGGATCCAGGAAGGGCCGAGGACTGACAGCACCCGCAGGGCCCCATCCCTCCTCAGCAGGCCGCCTGTGGGAACAGACGTGGCCGGCCAGAGGCAGGAGGGTGAGTGCTGGGACCACGGTGTGGGGAGGGCCTGTGGCCTCTGGACCTGGCTTGTGGGGGGGGGCACATCGTCCTCACAGTAACCCACCCCCAGCCCTCCGTCAAGTCCATTCTGGCTCACACCGACACGTTGTCACAAGTCTGAGACCTCGAGTCTTTACGGGAACAGACAGCCTCGTGGGGCGGCGGGTGGGTTGGACCACAGACTTGTGGTTTGCAGCCCAGTGCCTAACCTGTAGCACCGCCAGGGTTCCCTCGTAACCGTAGCTGTTTCCGTGGACTGGTGGGGCAGCCACCGTGTGCTCCACTGCCCCACTGTCAATACAGCCCCTCTCCAGCTGGTGGGTGGGGGTGTCTGAATATACACAGAATGGTTCACAGAATAAAAAGTCTAAGGGGCATCAGCTTCAGGCGTGGCTGGATCTGGGTGTTCAGTCAGCATGGGATGCGCTTTGCTTTCTTCTGGTTGGCTCTCTTCCTGGCCAAGCCCTCCCCCCGATAACAGCCGGGGGCACCAGTGGGTCCCACCTGCTTCCCAGCATTCGTAGAGAAAGGTCCAGGAAGAGGCAGATGCCCAACATGGCGGGAAGGCCTGGGGCCAGGGCCTGAACAGTCCTCATGGCCTGAGAGGCGAAGCAAGCAGTGCCCCTCAAGGAGACCGGGGTGATGCTCCCTGAGATGGGGAGCACCCCTGAGCAGGCCAAGCCCATGGAAACCCGGGACAGTCAGTGAGCCCGCCTCCTGCCTCCTCGTGGTTTTGCCCGCCGAGCCCGCTGCTCTGCGCTGTCCCCTGGCCTGTTTTCAGCACCAGCAGGATCCGGGGATTGGGGGCCACCAAACCCAGCCCCCCCCTCCGCCTGGCAGTCCTGGCTTTCCACGGGGCCTCTAGCATCCTCTCCTCGAGCACATCGGTGTTTGTTCCTGGTGCTGCCGGGAGCCTACCTGCCACAGAACGCACTGCCGTCCTGTGCTGGCCGCCCGCGCCGTCCTTGCTGTTGCTGCAGCCGCGGGTCCTCCTCTTTTCTCGCCGCCCCTCCACTGTGCCCAGCACGGTGTCCTTTTCCAAGGACTGGTCTCTCCCGACTGTAGGTCCGAAGTATGACCACATCTCACCACCTCCCTCTCTGAGCAGCTTTCTGACTGTAGGAAGCTTTTCGGAAGCTCGTGGGGGAAACCCCATCGTCTGTCAATCCCATTTTCCCATGAACTTCCGGAAGCCTCCGCATCCTTCTCAAAAGACAGATCTGCTTGTGCTTTTCCAGGGCTGCCCACGGTCTACTCTCTCTTCTTCGCCCACGCCAGAACTCATGGGCACCAAGGCCTCTGGTCTTCCTTGTCTGTCGTCCAGCTCTGGCATGGACCGGCCTGGTGGCTGGACGTGGGCCGGGTGCCCTGGAGTCCTCGAAGCGATGTCCTTGTTCCTTGACTCGTGAGCGAGGTCCTCGGTCAGCAGGTTTGCCCAGCACAGCCCACAGCCTCGCTGCGTCTGTGAGCACTGATTGGGACGCTGGATAAAATGACATTCTTGGCGACTTCGACCCTTTCTCTGGTCATCCTGATGTTGCCCGTTGGTTAGCTCTCGGTGCGAGGGCTGGCTGTGTGGAGAGCCGGGGCTGGAGACCGGGGGCGTCCAGGAGGAGAGCGGGCGGCTGGCCCAGGATGCTCACCATCTGGTGAGGTAGAGATGGCTGGGGAGCCAGGGTGGTGGGGAACAGCCCGGGACAGAAGCACAGCAGAAACCGACGCACCGCATTGGTTGTGAGTGAAGAAGGGAGAAAAGGGGGCGGTGGGGTTCCCTCCAGCCAGGGAAGACCCCCAGAGGAGGGCCTTCTGGGCAAGGGCTGGCATGCCTGCTGGGACACAGCCTGGACAGAGAGGCCTGGAGGTGGGCGTGGACTGTCCCAGCATGGACGGCTACATCTGAGAGGAGCCAGACCCTATGGGGTCTCAAGGGTCTAGTCAAGGCGTGGGGACTCGTCTTCTCTAAGTAGTAGGGAGCCATGGAAGGTCTTTGAGGAGGAGCGTGTCCTCCTGTGCCTGTGTGTTCGGCCGCACGTGCCAGGGCGAGGTGTGGAGCATGATCCAGAGCAGGGAGAGGCTGTCGGAGGCAACTCCGGTGACACGATGATTTTGCAGCCGCTGTGGTGGTCACTTGTTCTGGCCCCACAATTGGCCAAGGCCAGGCCCGCTGGGTGAAGGGTTCTGGGCAGAGGACAGTCACCTGCCCTCGAAGGACCCCGCTCTGATTGCGCATTGGTTACAGGGGGGGAAGCGCCACCTCCTTAGCATGGGGACAGCTGGCAGACACCGCCTGCCTTAACCAAGTGGCAGCTCAGCGTCCCCACGGGGAGCATTCTGGGGGGAAGCCCCTGATGGATGCCACGGGCAGGGCTCGGCCGGTCTTCCTGCCGGCAGTGCCTCGCCTGCGTCCAGTCCTGCGGAAGCAAACCCAAACGGGGGGTGGGGGTGGGGTCGGTATTCTGCAAAGCACTGACCTGGACCCTGTGAGAGACTCCGAAACAAAACACAACCAAACGCACTGCCAGAGTCGGTTCTAGAAGGCGGGGAGACCACGGGACAGCGGTGGCTCCGTGGTAGGAGTCTCCCCTTCCACGTGGGAGACCCAGGTTCAGTTCCTGGCCAGAGCACCTTGTACGCAGCCACCATCGGTTGGCCAGTGGAGGCATCTGTTACTGAGATGCCACACGGGCTTCCGTGGCTCTTCCAGACTCAGACAGACTAGGAAGAAAGGCCTGGTGATCCCTTTCTAAAAACCAGCCAATGAAAGGCTGACGCATCACAGTGGTCCAGCCAATCCGAAACTGATCCTGGGGACGGTGCAGCGTTTTGTTGTGTGGGGTCAGCACGCGTTGGGAGCCAACACAGGGGACTCGGAGACCCAGAAACCAGGTGTGATCCTAGATAGGAAAAAGTGGAGCTAAGAAAGACATTCCTGGGACACCCGGGAGGACTTGGCTGTGGACAGTGTGCTGGACAACAGTGTTTTGTCACTGGTCTACCTCCTGGGTGTGCTGACAGCAGGGGTTCTGGGGGAGACCGCCTTGTTCTCGGGAGGCCCAGATGGAAGGGCTGGCCGTGAAGGGCGCGGCGTCTCCAGGTAGTTCAGCAAGACAGATGATCTGTAGGTAGGAGGCAGGGTATTTGTTTCCCGGGCTGTTGTAACAGTAGCACAAACCGATGGCTTCAAACAATTGAACTGTATCCTCTCACACTTCGAGGTGTGGGCAGGGCCAGGGTCCCTCTCGGGTGGGGCTCCCTCCCAGCCTCTCCCCACTCTGTCCGTCCCAGGAGAGCCTTGGCTTGGGGCAGCACCACTCCAATCTCTGCCTCTCTCATTGCCTGGCCTCCTCCCGTTCTCTCTCTCTCTCTCATGCTTTTCCTATGGGGCAGCCATTAATTGGCTCCCAATCCCGTCCACCCTACTCCAGGAGGGCCTGTGGGGATGTCACTGGTGACCTCTGCCAAGACGCCCTTCCAAAGAAGATCCACCCCAGCGACTAGAACTTCAATAAGTAGGTGGTGAGAGAGGAAGGCAAGTCACATGAGACAGTTCGGTAGCCGCTGGGGACTCGGGGGGCAGACTGTGCTGCCCCCCTTCCGTAGCCCGTTGCAGTTAGAGGTAGCGGAAGTAGGACCATGGTGGTGGGATGAAGAGGGGACAGACAAGGATGGAAGAGGTGGGCGGGATGGACTCAGGGGCCAGGGGAGAGGTCCAGCTCCAGGCCTAGGCGTCTGTGTGGACGCCTCTGCTGAGGCGCGGCCGCTAGGGAGGAGCAGGAGGGGAGAGGTGGGCAGGGCTGCCCATGCTGGGCTTGAGGGTGTGGTGCCCGTGGCTTCCCAAAGGCTCATGGGAGGGATGAGGTGATGTGCTCAACAGACATCTCTTCCCCGCCCAGGAGCTGAGCGTGGTTGAGCCCCCTGGAAGGCCATCATGGGAGCAGCAGTAGGGACGCAGAGGGGGGCGTGCCCTCCATCCTGCCAGAACCCACAGAGCCGCCCTGGACTCCCCCTTCCTTCCCTGGCCGGTCCCTCTTCATCCCCTCTGCCCTGCTTGTCCATTCTGGGCCCCCTCTGAGCATTTAGTGCTTGGCTTTTGAGACCCTTGAAATGGATGGTTCTTGAGCTCGCCCTCCTGCTTGGACCGCTTCTCTGCACTCATCCATCCTGCCTCCTGCTGGTACCCCCACTCACCTGTGTCTCAGGGGCCCCCAAACAGCATTCTTCCCTCCCCACATTCATTAAATGCTGTCTGACTGCCTTGCTGGGGGCTAGGCTCTGCCTGGAGCTGGAGCAGCCCCCGGGGGGGATGGGACAGCCAAGGTCCTGCCTCATTGAGCTGGCTATCCAGTCCTGGGAGGCAGCCAGAAGTCCAGCCAGAAAGCAGGCCTGGCATGGGGAGGCCTGCGTGGAGGTTAGGAGCGGCTCCAAGGGAGTGGCAGAGCAGGCCTGTCTGGGAAGGGGGACCGTACCCAAGATCTGACAGACTCAGGTTCAGAGCGGAGGGAGCAGCCAGTGCGGAGGAGCAGAGAGGCATGGCAGGCGCAGGCTAGCGTGTGGACACCCCTATCCCCCATCTGCCCTCTAAACCCGGCTCTCTTCTCTGTTAGTGACCAGTGTGTGTCCCCAGTGACCCAGGTCCCAAATCGCCAATTGTCCTAATTTCCCTTTCGTCACCAGCCATTCACATCGGCACCTCCTCCATGCCCACTGCCCCTGGTAGTCAAGTGGCCCCAGGGCTCGGAAATGTGGCTGGTTTTTCTGGAAGGAGGATGCCAGGCCTTTCTCCCCAGTGCTTCTAGGCACACTTGAACGTCTAAGAGGCTCCACTACATCAAAGCACACTCCAGATCAGTCCCCTCCTGGTCACCACCACTGCCGCTCCCTGGCCACCAGGCCCAGCGCTTCAAGCGCTCCCAGCGCCTGCCCTGTCCCACCTACCTCCCAGGAGCCAGAGCCATCTTTTAAAACCCCTGGTCAGATCTTGCCACCACCACTCCCCGCCACCCCCACTGCACCAGACCCTGGAGAGATGTCGGGAATCAAATGGCTGCCCAGGTTGCCCGTGGTCTGAAAGGACAGGCTGGGTTTTGTACCCGGTACCCACTTTCTGGCTCTTGGGAGCCCTGGGCTGTGGTGTGGGCTGTGGCTGGCCGTGGGTCTCACCAGGTGCCCCATTGAATCTGAGGCAGTCACCACTATCCACGCGGTGGCAGGTCCTCAGGTGGCAGGCAGGGGCCAAGACTCAGGAGGAATTCACTTCTGTCAGGCCAGGGCCCACCGAGCTGTGGAAGCTTGCTCTGTGGGGTGACGTCGCAGGGCCCACCCTGACCACAGACAGCAGGTGCCGAGCCCACCCTTGGGCCTCCGAAGGAGCACGCAGCTTGGGGAGTTGGATCTCGATGGGAGGGGCACTTGGGACCCCTCATCCTTTGCCGGTGGTAATGCCTAATGGTGGCCCTGATGGGAAGCAGAGTCGGCAGCCCATTCAGGACTGCAGGGCCCGGCGATTCCACCCCTAGGTGCGCCCTCTTGTTGCTGTCAAGACCTCCTGACCCCGTGCATGGACCATGGGGACAGAACCCTGCCCGGCCCCCGCACCCGCCTAGCAGTCGTTGCCAATGGTGGCCCACTGTTGCCACCACCGGTCAGGTCATCTGCTGAGGGTCTTCTTCTTTCCCATCCCACCCCCTCCACTGTACCAGCCGGATGTCGTTCCCTAGGAAGTGGTCCCTCCTGCTGACATGCCCAAAGCACTCGTCTCCCCATCTTAAAGAACATTCTGGCTGTACGTCCTCCAGGCCCATTTGCTATTCTCTTGGCAGTCCCGGGCGCTTTCAATATCCGCCGCCAGGGAACAGCCAGGTCTACAGCCAAGGGAAATGGGAGAAGCAACTCAATCAGATACGTGTGCACCGGTGTCCCTTGTCGCACCACGCACGAGAGCCAAAAGGTGGATGCCACCCAAGGGCTTGCTAGCCGGTGAAGGAATGAACAGCGCGGACAGGCGTGCCCTGGAGAGTTACCCGGCCGTAGACAGAAGGGGAGTTCTGACATGGACCACTACATGGATGGCTAGGAAATTCCGTTCACGTGAAACACCAAGGCCAAATGCTAAATTAAGACAAACTCACTGCCAACGAGTCCGGCTCACGGTGGCCCTGGAGGACAGGGTAGGACTTCTGAGACTGGCTCTTTATGGGAGTAGAGAGCCTCATCTTTCTCCTGAGGAGCGGCTGCTGGTTTCGAACTGTTGACCTTGCGGCGAGCAGCACGCCCGTAACCCACTCAAGAGTGACCGTCTCGGAAACTCTCAGGGGCAGTTCCACCCTGTCCTGGAGGGTCCCTGGGAGTTGGTATCGCCTCGATGGCAGTGAGTTTGGTTTGGTTTTTCGGACCAAGGTAGTACTGAGAACTCCCCTCCCCCTTCCCCGGGCTTCCTGAGCATTCTCATCTTCCGGAACCATAGGACGGTGGCAGAATTCAGGCACTGACTTTGGTACAGCACGCTTTAGGGAACTGCCGACACAATGATCTATCCGTTTTCTGACTTGGGTTTCCCCGAGTGCCATGTGCCTCCATCATTCACTGACTGTCATCCATCAAGTTGCTTCTGACTCACAGCGACCCCATCAGACAGGCGAGACTTGTCCCTGTCGGTTTCTGAGACGCTGGGAGTAGAGAGCCTCATCTTTCTCTCCAGGAGCGGCTGGTGGTTTTGAGCCGCAGCCCACGGTGTGACGCAATCTGCCACAGGACTCCTGCACGCATCTGCCGAGTTGATGCTGACTCACAGTGACCCCAGAGGACAGAGTGGAGCTGCCCCTGTGGGTTTCCAAGACTCTCACCCTTTCCAGGAGCAGAGAGCCCCATCTTTCTCCCTCAGAGCAGTTGCTGGGTTTGAACTGCTGACTCTGAGGATCACAGCCCAAATCAGGACTGTCATCTCCTCCGATCTGTGACTGGCATCAACAGAACAAAAAATCTTACCATCGTGAATGATGGAGACCCTGGTGGTGCCGTAGTTAAAGAGTTGCTCTGGGAACGAAAAGTGTGGCTGTTCAAACCCACCAGCCACTCCTCGGGAGAAAGATGGGGCAGTCTGCTTCTGCAAAGATTTACCGCCTGGGAAACCCCACGGGGCAGTGGGATGGACCGTCCTGTACGGTGGCTGTGAGTCAGCGCCAGTCCCTCCGCAGTAGGTCCGGTTAGTCTTCCCTTGGCTGGTTTGAAGCGTGGCGTCTGATGAGGTCTACCTTTGACGCAGATCTTCCTGGTAGAGCAAAGACCCTGGGGCCAGGGGGCATGTGCTGAGGGCTGTTTTCAGATGATGGTGGCTTGGGGTGGGGAGATGGCAAGGGGAGGGCAGGAGACAAGCAGATCTGAATGGTCTTTCAGGACAACTATGGCGTGGCGGGTACTCACTGGGCTGCGACCCACAAGGATGGTTTGAAACCACCAGCCAACCCACTGGAAAAAGACAGGCTGTTGGCACCTGTAAAGATTCACAGCCTGGAGGAACGGTTCTACTGCGTCATCCCACAGGGTCCCTGTGAGACAGGATCAGCTCCCTGCAGTGGCAGTGGGTGACGTGAGCAGCAGGCATTGGTGGCTCAGTGGTAGAATTCTCGGTTCTAATGCCAGCCGGTCTTGACTCTCTCAGTGGAGGCTTCTCGTGGCCATGGTGCTGAGCAGAAATCTGCAGAACTTGTATCCTCAGAGGGGAGCCTTAGTGGTTATCCATTGGGCTGTGATCCACAGGGTCAGCAGTTCAAACCCCCCAGCCACTCTGCGGGAGGAAGATGAGGCTTTCTGCTCTTGTCATGATTTACCGCCTCAGAAACCCACAGGGGCAGTTTTACCCTATCCTACAGAAAGCAGCAAAGAAAACTGCTGCCCTTTCAGATCTCAGCCCAATGTGTCACGACTGTTCCACCAGGCTCCTCTGCCCAATAGGATCCTTCTGAATTGGAAATCAACTTGATGGCATTGAGTTTGGGGTTTATGTGCTTCCTTCCATGCTCAGGGGAGTCCTGATGGCATAGTTGTTGCTCATTGGACTGCTACCTTCAAGGTTGGCAGTTCAAAACCACCCGTGGCTCCATGGGAGAAAGATGAGGCTTTCGACTCCCGTCAGGAGTTACAGACTCGGAGACCCATAGGGGCAGTTCTACCCTGTCCTACAGGGTCATAGTGAGCCAGAATCGACTCAGCCTCAGTGAGTTTGGCTTTATTATTATTATTATTTTTCCATGCTAAAAGCAAACCCCACTGTGCTGGAGTCTGTTCCAAAGTGGAGTGACCCGATGGGAGAGTGGAACTGCCCACGTTGTGTGGCAGTCCACTGCGCCACGGAGGCACCTTCCTTCCATGCATGCCTCTGCTCAGGGGACCTCTGGGACTGCACCCCCCTCCCCCAGAGGCTGGTGGAGGCGGGCTGGGAGGGAAAGGAGGGGCACTCTTAAGCAGGGCCTTTGCTGGGATGGATGAGCCCACGGTTCCCTGCACTCCATGTCGGAAGCACCAGCCCAAGGCCGGCACGTGCCCAGTGACTCAGGGGTTGAGGGGCTGGAGAGTGACGCCCAGGTGCTTGGGTTGGGCCTCGTGAGGGGCCGTTGTCAGGCAATGGTGTGCCTCGCGGTGGGTACAGCACCCCTTGAACTGGAGGGTGCGGGCCAAGAACCTGCTGGGGGCAGGTTCTCACACCCGTGTTGCATAGGGCAGGGCCCATGAAGCGTATTCTGAAATCTCCGGGTGAGGCGATGCTGCTCAGGCCTGGGCTGGACTTTGGGTGGGCTCTCCCACGTTGGCGTCAGCCCAATCCTGGAGGCGGCGCATGAGTCCTTTAGGATCTGAGGAGCATTCTAGAACTTACTCATCAGAAAGAGGCTCATTCGTAGAGATGAGGGATTTTCTGCCCGTCCAGTTTCGGAAACAGACCGGGCATGGGAAGGCTGTCTAGGGGCTGTTTCTGGGGTCCCTCGCCCTCTTCTGGGGTCACATGGGCCATCGTCAGACCTTGTCCTGGGGAGCTTGTTTCCTCTCTGACTTGCCCCCAACTGTACCAACTTCCAGATCTATGACCCACTCCACTGACTGTCCCTTGGTCTCGATCCCATTCCTGACCCCAGCGCCCATCCCGTTGGCCTTGGTCAGGGAGAAGAATCTTGGTAGTGTCGCCAAGAAGGGGCTGCGGAGCCTGCCCTGCTCTTCCATCACAGGGGACAAGGGAAGGGAGGCTGTCAGGGTGCCTCCTCTGAGCCTGTGCTTCCCTCCTCTCCCCAGACACCAGCTCCGGGCGACAGCACTGGGCCAAGCTCCGGGGGGAAGGCGGGTACTTCTCCTTGGATCGACTTCGGGCTGCACCAGCCCAAGCTGTCTCCTCAGCCCCCCAGAGCGGACCTCGCAGTGCCACCTCCTTCGCCCATCGCTCTGCCCAGCGGGACGCCACAGCCCAGGCTGCTTCTCCACAACAGGATGCCCCCAGAGCCTCTTCTCCTCCCCAGACCCCCCGGTGGGACAACCCTCGAGCCTCTGCCACCCCACGAAGCAACCCTCACGTCTCCTCTCCCTCCAAAAGCACCCAGCAAGAAAACTCCAGCGCCGCCTCTGCCCACCAAGACGGGTCCCCCACAGCTTCTCCTACTCGTACCCTGCAACGGGACAGCCCCAGAACACCCTGTGCCCAGCGGGATCCTCCCAGAACCTCCTCTCCCAACCGAACCGCCCAACGGGAGAGCCCCAGAACACCCTGTGCCCAGCGGGATCCTCCCAGAACCTCCTCTCCCAACCGGACCACCCAACAGGACCATCCCAGAACACCCTGTGCCCAGCGGGATCCTCCCAGAACCTCCTCTCCCAACCGAACCACCCAACAGGACCATCCCAGAACTTCTTGTACCCAACCGAACACCCTCAGAAGCTCTTCAACCCAACGGGACAGCCCGAAACCCTCCGCCCCTCGGGATAATCCCAGATCACCCTGTCCCCCACGGGGCCACGTGCACTGCTCATCCACGCCACAGTCCAACCCCCGCCCTTCCTCTTCGCAGCAGCGGGACAACCCTGGGAGGATCTCCTCTCAATGCTGCACCCAGCCGGACAATCCCGGACCTGCGTCTCCCCATCGCGCCTCTCCCCGGAAGAACCCCCGGAACTCCTCCCCACACCGCACAAACAAAGACATCCCCTGGGCCTCCTTTCCGCTCCGGCCGACCCAGAGCGACGGCCCCCGGACCTCTTCGCCAGCTCGCGCCAAGCAAAGTGAGGTTCCCTGGGCATCCATTGCGCTCCGGCCAACCCAAGGGGACAGGCCTCCGACCGCAGCCCCAGCTCGGCCAGCCCAGCTTGACTCAGCCTTGTCCTCTGGCCCCCTCGCCAAGCACAACTCGCCATGCCAGGCCGCCTCATCCTCCCAGAACCCCGGCCACCACAGTGCTGCCAGGACTGCCTCTCCTCTGTACCCGCTTAGCCGGGGCGCCTCCCAGACTTCCGACTCCTCCCAGCCTCAGTGTGCCGTGTGCATCGGGCACCGGGATGCCCCTCGAGCCTCTTCGCCACCTCGCTATTTGCAACATGACCCCTTTCCCTTCTTCCCAGAGCCCCGAGCATCAGAGAGCGACTCTGTCCACCACGACCCTCCCTATATGCCCCCTGCCGTCTGCATCGGACACCGAGATGCCCCCCGGGCTTCCTCACCTCCCCGCCACACCCAGTTCGACCCTTTCCCCTTCCTCCCAGAGATACCTGATGCTGAAGACCAGTCTCCGCAGCACGACCCTCCCCAGCTCCCCCCACTTGTGTGTATTGGGTACCGCGACGCCCCCAGGGCCTCCTCCCCGCCACGCCAGGCCCCAGAGCCTGCCCTCTTGTTCCAGGACATCCCCAGGGCCAGCACAGAGAGCCTGGCCCCCTCCACCGACTCTGTGCACATGCATCCCCACATCCCCACCCCTGTGTGCATCGGGCACCGGGACGCACCCTATTTCTCGTCCCCCCCACGCCAGGCCCCTGAGCCCTCCCTCTTGTTCCAAGATCCTCCTGGGGCCAGCATGGAGAGCCTGGCCCCCTCCACTGACTCCCTGCAAGGCTGCGCCTTGCTGCCCCCGCAAGTGTGCATTGGGCACCGGGATGCCCCCCGGGCCTCCTCCCCACCCCGCCACCCACCCAGTGACCTAGTGCTCCTGGCACTCTCACCTCCACCGGGCAGCTCGGGGGGCTCCCGGGGCTCGGCACCCCCCGGGGAGACCAGGCACAACTTGGAGAGGGAGGAGTACACGGTGCTGGCTGACCTACCCCCGCCCAGGAGGCTGGCACAGAGGGAGCCGGGGGCCCAGGCGCAGGGCAGCAACGGGGGCCGCACCCGCAGCCCCGGCCGAGCAGAGGTGGAGCGCCTCTTCGGGCAAGAGCGCAGGTGAGCCCCCGGGGGTGCGGTCGGCCAGGTGGGCGGTGGAGGAGGCACCTGGCCGGCAGCATGCCAAGGGGAAGAGTCACAGGCTTAGGTCGCCAGACCGCAAGGGTTTGAATCTCCAGCCTGCTGTTTCCTGTGTGACCTTGAACAAGCCGTGTCATTTCTGCATAGTAGGGTATTTTGCGATTGTTGTTGTTGTTGAAGTTCAGGGTCAGGTGACGAGCCCTGCGGTGAAGAGTGAAAACCAAGGTTAGGTAGGCCGGGTTCAAAGCCACTCACCAGCCAGGGGGACCTGTGATTTTACCTACCTGAGCCTCAGTTTCCTTATCTGTAAAACAGGGGAGGGTTGTTAGTATAGGATTTCACATGAGCTTCGATACTCAACCCCTGCGTTGGACCCAGAACCAGGGGCATCTTTGCCTTTGACCTCCTGCATGTGGGAGAGGAGCAATGCCCTCTGGGTTGTAACAACACATGACCTTTCAGACAACGGAGGTGTCCACGTTCCACCGATGACCAGGGCTGCCTTTTTTGAATAAGAGAACTCACAGCACGACAGGCTTTCTCAAGGTTAGATCTGAATTTCCTGGGCCGTGGTGGTGACTGAGGCCAAGCCAGGGGCAGGCCCATTCCCTCCAGGGCAGGACCCCCCACACCAGAGGTTCATCATCTGACCCCGAGGCCGCTCCTCTGTGCCCCGAAGGAAGGGAAACCGTTCCTCCAGTGTAGCCTGAGGTTTTGTCCCCAGCACTTCCAGCTCTTAGTTTTTCATGGGTCTGGGCCGGCCAGGAGCACGGGACCGGACGTTTGGGACACGGCATCCACCAACTGGAGCAGCCGTCACCACGGTCTAACTGTAGGACAGCTCCACTGCCCTGAAGAGACACATGCTGTTGTGTCTAGAATCCCTCTATTTTTTGGCCCAGTAGGCAACTTTCTTAGATTGGAATCTGCACGAGAAAACGTCTCTTATTCCTCCAATTTCCTTTCCCAATCAGCTCGCCCCGTTTCAGCTCCAGGCTCTCATGTACGGCCGTAAAGAGGTACAGTCTTGGAAATCCACAGGGACAGTTCCACCCGGTGCTATGCAGTTGCTGTGAGTCGAATTGACGTGTTAGTCATGAGCGTTTTGAGTGTCTTTTGCTCTAAGGAGCCCTACTGGTGCCATAGGTGAGGAGAAGGGCTGCTTCACCACGAGGTTAGAGGTTCAAAATCACCAGCCACTCCTCGGAGGAAGATGAGGCTTCCAGTAAAGACTGACAGTCTTGGAAACCTCAAGAGCTGTTCTATTGGGTCCCTCTGAGTCAGATTTGAACCTGATGGCAGTGAGTTTAAAAATTTTTTTTAAGTTTTGGTCTGATGTCAATGTCTGTACTTTTGATCTGATAACTCAGCAGGGACGTGAAGGTCTTGAAACCAAAGCTCAAATGTTTTCCTGAGAAAGAATTTCTGTCAGCATCCGGGAGTATCTGCCCTCTTTCCCGCATCACGAACTTGATTTTACCCAGTTATTTCCATATATTTGACTGGGAGTTTATCCGATTGTGCTCTTGTTGAGATGGATTCCCTTACCTTTATAATCAAGGTTCTGTTATTCACCTGAGTCGTTTTCACACTCCCCCATGTGTGGCGTCTTGTCCCAGTTGAAAACCCCGAGTCCTTTGAAAACATCTGTGTAAGGAGCCCTAATGGGTTAAACATTGGGCTGCTAACTGCAAGGTTGACGGTTCAAACCCACCAGCCGCCCCGTGGGAGAAAGATGAGGCTGTCTGCTCCTGGAAAGATTGACCACCTTGGACACCCTCAGGGGCAGTTCTGCGCAGTCCTGCAGGGTCTCCAGCAGTCAGAAAAGACTGGGTGACCCAAGCCCCTAAAACTTCACTGTCCGGGGGATTCTGCGGAGCGGGAGACTGATGGCAGGGAAGGGGTCTCATGGGCACCCCCATGGAGCTCCCTCTTCCCTCCCTTTTTGCCGGCGGGTGTGTGGGCTCAGCACAGGGTGGTCTCTCTCTTGAGCTTTCTCCTCTGGTTTCAGTCCAGCCAGGGAGACAGGCCCCCACTGGCCACTGAGAGGAAATCCAGCTCTTAAGCCTCTTTGAAATCCACTTGCAGGGAGTGCTTGGGCCTTTTCTCCGCTCCCCCCCCCCCCATGGGTGGGACGGGAGAGAGGTGCCCAGCTCCTGTTTGGCTGAGCGCTTCCCCCTCCCGGCAAACAGAGACGCCACATTAAACATTAATGACCGGGCCCGCCCATTCGTAAGCAAGACAGTGCAGTCCAGTGAGAGCCTTTGTACAGGTTAGAAGTTTCGTAGCCAGACAGGGCCGCCACGCCTGAAGTCCTGCTGCGTTAGAGACTGCAGGGCATCCGCTGGCTTGTCTGAAGCTGTGTGGGAACAGCTGTGTCCCCTCCTGCTGATGTGGCTAAGAGCTCTTTCCCCAACAGCCGTGAACCCTCTTGTTCACTAGCACCGAGTGGGCAAGGTGAGGCAGGGAGGAACGACCAGAACACCCCATCTGGCAGGGACAGGGCAGAGAGGACAGAACGGAATCTGGGGCACACGACACCGTATTCTGCACCTCCTGCCCGCCCCCTCCTCAAGGGGGTTCGAGAGTATGACGGGAGATCCTATGTACCAGGAGGGGAGTTGGCATCAGGAATCTAGGAAGTGCTTGATAAACATGTGCTGCTGGATTCTGTGTGCACAGTGCCCGGTACACAGTAGGTGCTCAATAAACCTTAATCCCCACCAGACCCAGTCTAACCTTTGTCTGGGGGTGGGTGGTTGGGGTGGGGAATGGGGGGGTAGTCAGAGTAGACAGGCAGCCATGGTCAGGGCCTCATGTGACCTTGTCTTAGCCTGCCCTTCCCCCATCTCATTCCTGAGGCAGGTAGAGTGGAGTCCACCCTCCCCCTATTTCAGAAGGGGAAACTGAGGCCCCGTAGAGCCAGGTGGGTGGGAGCAGAGAGGAGGGGCTGCTGGGATACGGGGAACAGTCCCAAAGGCCCTCAGAGGGGCGCTGCATTTGCCCATAGGAAGCCCGAGGCACCGGGGGCCTCCCAGGCCCGGGACGAGGGGCGGTCACAGCGACCCGGCCAAGGTCAAAGCCAACTGCTCCGAAGACAGTCCAGCCCTGCCCTCAGCAGGGAGGTGAGCACTGCCAGCCCTCTCCCCCCACCCCACCCCCTGGCCCCCCCAAGGGACAGGCCACCGCTTCTTCCCTGCACCAGGGGCCAGCAGGGTCCCCCACTCCGCAGGCCAGCAGCTCTGGGCAAAGTTGTGCAAGGCCCAAATTCCCCCTGCTCCCCTCCCCCACCGCCCCTTGGAGTGCCCTGCCAGCCTGAGCCAGGCTCAGATAAGCCCCAAGGTGCCTGTGTGTGTGTGGGGGGGACTGTCTTCTCAGGGGTGGGAATTTGTGTTTTTAAAACAGCTGTGTTTTAAAGGGACCCAGGTGGTGGAGTGGTTAGACTTTGGACTGCTAACCTCAAGGTCACAGTTCAATACCACCAGCCGCTCCGCTGGAGCTCGGGTCTTGGCAACCCACAGGGGCTGTTCGACCCTGTCCGACAGGGTCACAATGACTCAGAATGGGTTCACTCGGTGGCAGTGAGCTTGGGTTCTGGTTATTTTCTCGGCATACTCGGCCCTGCCCCGTGGGACGCTGAGGTGTTAGCTGTGGCCACTCAGGCACCTGATCGTCTGGGCTGGAATCAATCTCTTGTGGGGTGGGGAGTCCTGGACCAGCTCTTTACAGATCTGTTTCAGGGACGGAGGAAAGTAGGTGACAGCAAAGAGGGGGCCACTCACAGAGGAATCCGAGGGCCCGTGGGTGCTGCATGGAGTGAGGACAGCCCGTCCTCCTCTCTTGGGATACGCTGAGACCCTGGGGTCCCCACCCTCCTAGATAGTGGCCACCCAGCCCTGGGCCTGGAGCTTCAGCTAGCCCTGGCCGCATCCACTGGTGACTGTGTCCCCTCCTAAGCAGGCAGAGCCAGCCCGGCGGAGCAGAGCCGAGGCCCCTCGTGCCAGGATCCCGGAGAGGCACCCTGAGGGGGACCGGAGGCTCCAGGGGTCCTCACAGCCCCCCAGGACATCAGCCAGGACCTTGGAGCGGGAGTGCCAGGCAGAAGGACCTGCAGAGAGAGGCCGAGGGGGTCCGGGGAAGCCCCTGGGGGTGCGGCAGAGTCAGGAGGCACCCCCAGGGCCCCGGAGCGCTCCCCAACACCTGGAGAGGAACTGCAGCTTCCAGGAGAGCCCAGGTCCTGGGGAGTCCAGCTGGGGGGCTGCCAGAGGCCCTGAGGGCACATGGAGGGGCCCTTCCAGGGAGGCCCAGGAGAGCTGGGGGCAGCCGTCAGAGGCCTGGAAGGAGACCCCCAGGAACAGTGTACGAGAGGCCCCCGAGAGGCCAGTCCAGAGGGGCTGGGGCAGCCTCCAGGAGCTGGCCAGTCCCTACCCACCCATGAGCCCTCCAGGGCTCTCGCCATCCCGGCAGCCTGAGATAGCGAGCACCACGGACTGGGGGGCAGAAGGCACAGGCCCACCTCCCCGAGACCCTGAGAAGCGCTCGGAGTTTGACTGGAGGGACCTGCTGAGCCTCTTCCAGGTGCCCACTGAGGGGACCTGGGCCCAACCAGGGGAGTCGCTGCTCGCAGCCCACCTGCCGAGGCTGGCCTGGGAAGGTTTCCTGGGGCTCCTGCAGGCCCGGCTGCCCAGCAGGGACTCAGCTGGACATCAGGCTGGCCCAGCCAAGTCTTCAGAGCCCGAGCTGGGTCCCCCAAGCACAAAGGGCATCGCAGAGCCAGAGTCACACAGCCAGCCTGAAGCCTGGGCCGAGGCCACCCTAGCCAATGGACACAGCCCCGAGCAGTGGCCCCAACGCCCAGCCCAGCCGCCCAGCCCTGCCTGCACCTCCACCCAGTGGCCAAAGACCAAAGTGACAAGTGGACCAGAGAGCTCACCGATGGCTGATCTGGAGGAGTCGGGCCGGCTGCGGAGCTGGAGCCCCGAGGAGGGCCCCAGCTCACCGGAGCGGGAGGTGAGTCCGCTTGTCCTGCCCCAGACAGACTCCTGGAAAAGGCCTCCGTGTGGATGCAAGGAGAAGTCCCTGTCCAGACCGGACACCTCCCCCATCCCCATCCCTCCTAGCAGCACATCCTGGCTACCTGCTGGGCCTGAGACATCAGTGTGCAATTTCCCAATGCAAAAGCCCAGGGGTGCCATGGAGGTTAGGCACTTGGCTGCTGGCTGAAAGGTCAGCAGTTCAAACCCCCCCACCCCCCCAGGAGCCCCGAGGGAGAAAGGCCAGTCCACCTGCTCTGGGAAAGGTATCAGCCTAGAAAACACTGGGGGCAGCCCCACTCTGTCACCTGAGGGTTGCTGTGAGTTTGGATCCATTCGGCATAACCGCACACTCACCATGGCAACAGGATGAGAAAGGCGAGGCTTGTTTCCAGACACACCGAGAGAGGTGCAGAGAGGTTGAGCCACTGGCCAGGGTCTCACGGCTGGGCAGGGCTGGCACAGGGCGGAAGCCAGGGTTGCTGCAGGCAACGAGCACCCCGAGTCCTCCAGCACATGTCCTGGCGGAGCCTTCTCCCTCTGGGCCTGCTGTGCGGGGCACATACCACCCCTGGTCGTTGGGCCTAGTCCTGGAGGGCCAGGAGAGGCTCACATCGGTCCCCAGCCCCCAGTCCCTTGTCTCACGGAGGCAGCGATGCGCATGATCCTGGGGGGTCTCTGAGGCAGACTGCTCCGATGAGGGCACAGGGAATGGAGAGGAGTGCTTGCCAAGCCCTGCCCTGTCCCCTCAGCACAGTGCTAGAGGACCTCTGCCCAGGTTGACACCATCCCCAAGGCAGAGGTACTTGGGTGCTGCCTCAGAGCTCGGAACAGCTTTCCGAGGGGCTGGGGCCAGGAGGAGGCTGAAGCCCTGAGACCTGGGGACAGCTGCACAGTGGGGTCACACAAACTCTCCTCATCTTGGTGCCCAGTGTCCTGCTGCCCCCACCCCCACCCCATCCCATTCATCTGCCAGGTTTCACCCTATGTGGTTCACATGGACACAAAGCAGGAGCCATGATCCCCATTTTACAGACAAAGAAACCGAGGCTCAGACTTACTAGGTATTCATGGACCCTGGAGCTCCTCCCTGCTTTTGACTCCCACTTTCTGAAGCATTGGGGCCTGTGGCAGGATTGGGGACAGGCCCCTCTCTCCCTCCCACCACCTGTTACCACGGAGTCCGCCCCAACCCTAGAGGACAGGGTAGAGCTGCCCCACAGGGTTCCCACGCCTGGTATCTTTGCAGACACAGATGGCCGCCTCTTTCTCCCCTGGAGTGGCTGGGGGATTCGAACCTCTGGCCTTTCAGTTAGCAGCCAAGTGCTAACCGCTGCACCTCTGGGTCCCCCTTTCCCCTTTGTTGGCCTGTGGCTTTGCCCTTCCAGCCTCCGATGGGTCTTGAGCACAGACAAGTGCTGCCGGGCTGGGCCACTGTGCTGTGGTTTGCCGGCTGCCAGCAGGCGGTTGGAGAGGCAGGTGGGCCCCAGACAACTCGGGGAGGGCACACATGAGACTGTGTCTGGTGGATGCTGGAAAGCTGCAGACTGGCCTCCAGAAGAGGGGACTGGAAGGTCTGACTCTTCAGCCAGAAGTACACCAAGGAGGGAGTCTGGGAGGTGAGGGGCAGGTGAGTGGGTGGGAACACCAGGTGCTTATGGGTATTTCACAGGTGACAAAACAGGCCAAATCCCCAAGCCCAAGGCAAGCTGCAGCCGGTGCTCACCAGGCCATGCCTGGGCTCCTGCGGCCCTTTAGCTTCCTCCCGGACCACCCTTTTGTGCTGCAGGGCTTGGTGGGCGCATCTCCCTGCGCCTGCGCCTGCAGTTCTCACTCACAGGGCTCTTCCCTTCCTGGTCCCCTGCCCCGCTCCTGTTCCCCGTTTAAGTCTCAGACCAGGTGCCCCTGTCTGAGAAGATGTCCCTGGATGCTCACCCCAGTCCCCGCCTGGTGATGCCCCCTTCTGGGCTTGGTGACTGTTGCCCTCCATCTGGTCACACTCGTTTGTCATTCTCCCATCAGAAGCACGAGCTCTCCGGGGGTCAGGGCTGTGTCTCCGTGAAGACGCTTCAGGTCTGGGGTCCTGGTACAGCACAGAGGAGGGGTTCAGCGCCCTGGATACTGATCAGTGAATTTGTGGATGCATGGGTGCATGCCTGGGGAACAACACAGGGATTCATGCTCCTGTAGAGCTGGCGTTCTTGGGTGCCATTAAGCTGGTTCCGACCCAAAGCAACTGTAAGCACAGCAGAACAGAACGCAGCATGGTCGTCCGCACCATCCTCACAATCATTCCCACCTCCAAGCCCACGGTGGCAGCCACTGTGTCCATCCATCTCCTTGAGGGCCTTCCTCTTTTCCGCTGCCCCTCTGCTCTACCAAACATGATGTCCTTCTCCAGGGACTGGGCTCTCCTGACCAGTGTTTGTCCAAAGCATGTAATGATAAGTCCAAAGGAGGTAAGTCAAAGTCTTGGCCATCCGTGCCTCTAAAGAGCACTCTGGCCACACTCTTCCAAGACAGATCAGTTTGCCCCGTTAGCAGTCCACGATACTTTCCATATTCTTCTCCAGCCCCGCATTCAAATGCATCCAACTTCAGTCTTCTTTATTCAGAGTCCAACTCTCACACGCCTGAGTCACGGGAGAACGCCAGGGCTCGGGTCGGGTGCACCTTAGTCCTCAAAGTAACATCGCTGCTTTTCAATACTCTACGAGGTGTTGTGCGGCCGCTTTACTTAGTGCAACACATCTTGGAAACCCACAGGGGCAGCCCTACCCTGTCCTATGGGATGGCTGTGAGTTGGAACCAACTTTGTGACGATGAGTTTGGTGTCTTGGTTTTGGGGTGCATGCAAGGAGCGGATGAAGGCTGGATGGGTCAGTGGGTTGGTGGTGGGTGTGTGAATGGGTGATGGACGATGCATTTGGCTACATGGGTGGATGACAGCTGGATAGGCTGGTGATTAATGAGGGATGCGCAGATGTTGGATGTTACAAAGATGAAGGCTGGCTTGACAGTGGCGACAGTGATGTTGGGTGGAGTATGGATGGGTGGATGGTGCATGGACAGATACATATTAGAAGTATGTGTAGTTGGATGTGTAGATGAATGGCAGTTGGACGGACAGAGGCAAGACACATGGATGCTGGCTGACTGGGGACTAGAGGATCAATGTTGGGTAGATGTTGATAGATAGGCCAGAGGACTGATGTTGGATTGATGTTGATCGACTAGAGAATTGATGTTGGGTAGATGCTGATAGACAGAATAAAGGATCAGTGTTGGTCAGATGGGTGGACGGATGAATGGAGGATGGCTATTGACTGGAGGGATGGATGCATGGATCTACTGAAGCCTGGATCCTAGATGGATGTTTGGTGAATGGATGCAAAGGTAGATGGATGGATGGATGTGGGCTAATCCATCTGATTCTTTCTCATCTCCAGTTCCAACCAGAGAAGCCTGAGGTGTCAGAACCAAGCAGAGACCAGGACTCCCTGACTGACCTGAAGCAGGCAGACTCGGTAGTTGGGGCCTGGGCCTGGGCCTGTGGGGAGGGGAGGGGAAAAGAAATCAGGTGGGAGGTGGACTGAATCCCTCAGATGAGCTTGGGGCCCGTCCAGACCAAGATCGGCTGTGCCATTTGTGTGCAGGGTGGGTGTGCAGCAGCCAGCCTGGTTAGCAGAGGGAAGTCTGGGGCCCGGGTAGCTGGGGAACAGTCTCTGGCTTTTGCTTCTGACCTACTGAGCCGCCCTGAGAAGGTCACTCTCTTCCCTGGGTCTGGGACCCTCAAAGTCTCTAGGGGCACAGTCCCCATTCTGAGGAGCTGGGCCAGGCCAGGAGAGCGGGTAGGACTTCCAGGAGCTAGGGCCAAACACGCAGCCCAAAGGGCCCAGGAGGTACCCAGCCTGGGGCTGCATGTGGGGGCTGGGAACCATGGGGCTGCTCCAGGCCTGGCTGCAGCTGAGCCACACTGCTGTGCCCCGCCCTGCCTTCCGGCTGCCAAACAGACTGCTCTCATCATCACACTCAGCCCCCAGAGAGGTGAGGTCAGAGCTGAAGGCCGAACCCCGGGTGGGATGGGGTGGGGGTGGGGTGGGGGAGTGCACAGGAGGCAAGGGAGACCCACCCTGGCTGTTGGGGATGTGTTTTCCTAGTCCCACTGTATCCCAGGCCACCTCCTGCGCCAGGTATGACAGATGGGGAAGAGAGTGCCTGCCAGGTGGCCTGGCACCCAGGGGGCTAGCCTCATCTGACCCCAAGCCAGGGCTGTGCAGGGAGGGATTGGGGCAGGGAGCTGCTCCAGGCACATATGCAAGGCTGGGCACTCTGCTCCCCACTGGCCCCGCCCCTGCAGGGGGCCAGTCTCCCCATCTGTGAAATGGGGGAGGCACCCACCAGCAGCTCTGATCACCAGTGTCCCGTCCCCCCCGCCCCCCCCTCACCGGGCCTCCGGCAGCTCCGCTCTTCCTCTTTCTGGGCTATTTCCTCACTTCCTTGTGAGCCAAGAGGAAACAGCAGCTCAGGGCTGCCCCTCTAGTCCCCACAGAAATGGCCGCTGGGCAGCAGCCTGGAAAAACCTCTCCTCCTTCGCCCCAGGGAGCCTTGATGGGCAGAACTGATAATTGCCCCATTCATTGGGGCACTCACTCATCCACTTGTTCTGCCACACACATCCTCTTTGCCCTCAGCTCTGGGGAAGGAGAATCCAGCACTGTCCAGGCTGCGGGAGGGAGGAGACACACCATGTGGTTAGGGCTGTGGTGGGGGTGGGTGCACGCCACCCCCCAAAGCCCTCCCCACCCTGTGCTAGCTGCTTCAAGGTCCAGTGGCAGATAACCCCCCCTGGTTTTTTCTGTTTGGACTCAGCTTGCTGGGTGACTTTGGGCAGTCCTTTGGCTTTGCAGGGAGGGATTGGGGTGGGGAGCTGCTCCAGCTAGACTGTTTTCCCAGGGGTCACTCTAAGTAGAGGTAACCCGGGGGCTCTAGGAGCCTGTGACTCCCTTTTCCTCAAAGCAGGATCACAAGGAGCCTTAGTGGCCTAATGGATTACGTACAAATTGGGCTGCTGCCCACAAGGTCAGCAGTTCGACTCTCATAAAGAATTAGTCTGGGAACCCCACAGGGGGCAGTCCTATAGGGTCACTGTGAGTCGGTACCAATTCAGTGGCAGAGAGTCTGTTTTTTGGGGTGGTCCCAAGCCCAGTACCCAGGTCAGGCAGATAGCAGATGAGTCTATGGGGACTGTGGGCAGTGCCTGTGTGACCCCAGCCCTTGGCTCCCCATGAGTAACGTGGCCCCCAGGGTTTCCACACCTGTAGATCTTTCTAGAGAACCTGGACATCTGTTTTTGCAATGTGCAATCTCTCAATGATTTAACATTCAAACCTAATTCAGAATCATTTGAAGACCCCTGTGGGCCAAGCCCCTCCCCTGGGCCTGTGCTTTGGCCTCAGGATGGCGGCAGGGCTTCTAGCTCAGTGGGGGAGTTCAGGGGTTCCCTTCTGGGCAGCTGGGCAGAGCGAGGTGGGCAAGGAAGAGTGGGCAGGGGGTCGGGGTGCACAGCCAGGGATGCCCACACCACCTAAGGGACCTGGGGGCCAACACTGGACCCTGTTTGACAGGCAGACAAGAGGCCAGCAGAGGGCAAGGCTGGGAGCCCACTCAGGGGCCGACTGGTGACCTCATGGCGGATGCCCGGGGACCGGCCCACGCTGTTCAATCCACTCCTGCTGTCTCTGGGGGTCCTCAGGTGGCAAAGGGTAGGCTGGCGGGGGGGAGGGGCAGGAGGGTGCGTAGAGAGGGAGGAGGGGGGTGGTTGGTTTTAGGCAGAGACGGAGCCCTAAGGGGATCCCACCCAGGGGAAAGGAAGCCAGTGGCCTAGCACCTAAACCTCCCCCCATGGGCCCTGGAAGTAAGTCTTAACACCTCCATGGCTGGAGGGTGGGGCCTGTGCTCAGTTTTGGGGTGAGGGGTGGAATGAATGACCAGCACCTCATCCGGATGGACTCCTCACCAGCCAGGGAGCCAGGTGCAGGCCGGGCTCGGGCTCGGGGAGGAGCCACGAGGGACTCTGGAAGTGCAAAGTGCCTCCCTCCAAGACCTGGGCCACAGCCAGTTTCATGCACATCTGGCCTTTCGTAACCACAACTGCTGCCTGCTCCGAGGACTGTAAACACCCGGGCAGGGAAAGGAGGTGGCTCCATCTCCCCCACCCTTCCACCCCCCTCCAGCCCTCCCCAGAGGCTGGGCCTGGGGTCTCTCCCCTCCGTGATGGGCTGCCGCTTGCACTCAGTAAGGCTCCCTGGGGAACACTGAGCATGGGGTCAGGCACCTTGGAGGTAAGACGGCCATTCTGCAGATTAAAAGATCAAGGCTGGGGAAGGTGAGAAGAGCTGCCTGAGGTGGCAGGTGACACTGCTGGGGTGAAAGACAGGGAGGATGAGAGGAAGAAGTCCCTCAGCCCACCGCCTCAGCCCCTCGGTGGTCCTCCAAAGGAGAGCTGGTGCAGTGAGCAGACCAGCCTGGGTTTGTCAAAGCTCCCTCATCTTGAAGGTCACTTAGCATGTAGCAGGTCTGCAGCCAGAGGCAGGTGGCTAAAAGGACTTGGAGAATCAGGATGGTGGTATCAGTAACCAGCATTTATTGAACACCTACTGTATGCCCCAGGAGCCCTGTGGCATAGTGGTTACGCAGTGGGCTCTTTACCGCAAGGTCGGCAGTTTGAAACCACCAGTGTCTCTGAGGGGGTGGGGGGACTCTACGCCTCTGAACAGTCAGTCTTGGAAACACCCCTGTCCTGGCAAGCAGCTATGAGCGGGCACCAACTGGTGGCAGTAAGCTTGGTTTGGTGTTTGGCACTATGTGCCAAGCTCTGAATCCTTACCGCCAGGAACACCGACTAATGAAGCTCAGAGAGGACAAGCCACAGACATGTTCCAGGTGACGGGCCAGGGAGGGGGCATGTGTGTGAGCGGTAAAGCTAACATTCAAAACTTGCCCTGGCTGGCTGCAGCGCCAGGGAGCCTTCGTACCCCGGGTCCCCAGCTCTGTGCACCTTCAGCTCTCCGAGGCCCACTGCCCCCTGAGAGTCTTCCCATTAGACAGGTGTTACTGCGGAAGCCCAGCGAGTCTTCGGGCAGCCAGGCTTCCATGGGGAATGAGGAAAGCCAGGGGCCGGGAGATGTGAAATTATAGGCGGACAGGATTCCGTGAGCCTGAGGCCAAAGGCCAGGAAGCAGGGCCTCGTCCCATCCTGGCCACTAGGCTGTGTGGCTCTGGGCCAGTGTTGTCCTCTGCCCTCCCTGCGATCCTCTGTGTCTTGCTGTGAGCCCGGCTGATCCCAAGGTCCGGGACTCTGGGTTTTCCCGGTCCTATGGGGCTGGTTGTGGTCAAAGTCATTCTTGGCTTGTGCGTTCATTCACTTAACTGTGCATTGATTCTCACCCTGTGAGTCAGGGCCTACGAGGGTCGAGGCCCTGGGCTGGCCCCCAGGACACAGACCCCAAACCACTCTGTTCCTGCCCACAGGAGCTTATACTCCAGTGGGGCACTAACATGTAACTGGTCAAAGCACAGCACAGTCATCGCTTTGGTGGGGAGATGGACAGATGCGGGGTGCACCAGACAAGGAAGTCAGATGAGGGGAGCACCGGACGAAGTGTCACAGGTGGAGAGCACCAGATGAGGGGAGGATTTGAGGAGGAGTCACAGGTGGGGAGCACCAGACAAGGAGTCAGATGAGGGGAGCATTTCTGAGGATGCTGGGGCACTTTGACTTCCTTTGGACTGGAACTTGAAATGTGAGAAGGAATTTTCCAGGCACACAAATATTTGGAAGAGGGGGAGACAGAGAGAGAGGTGGGGTCCCCAGGACAGGACAGGAAGGGTTCCAGATGTGGCAGTGGACAGCATGTACAGTCAGGGAAGCACAGGAGGGCCTGGCTTGGCAGGGACATCCCATGTGCCCAGCACATGTGTGTGAGAGATGATGGGAGACAGGCAGGCCGTGACCGAGTTAGCATGGACGAGAGCAGATAGCTGTTGGATTAGCCCTGGGGAGTTACAGAGGGCCTTGGGCAGAGGAGCAGCCTGACTGTTGACGTCAATAGAGGGGGAGTCCCAGAGACCCAAACCCAGCAGTGCTCACGCCACCGGACCATGGAACAGTGACAAGTGAGGTTTCCTACGTACGAGAGGGCTTCAAAAAGTTCACAGAAAGATGGAATGAAAAGCGATTGGGATTGTTCCATGAACTTTTTGTAGCCCCCTCGTATGTGTTCCCTCACTCCCCCAAGGGCTGGGGCCTGAGTGAGGGGCCGAGGCCATGCCAGAAGACCAGGGTCTAGGGAAGATGCCCAATCCTCAGCCTCATTCTCAGAGGAGACACTCCCGGTGGGAGTGCCAGCACTCTGGGGCACCAGTTCTTTGTGAAAGAGGGACAATAATTAGAGGAGTGACAAACTGAGGGGCAGCATAACTGAAACAGCAGGTATTCGCTGCCCCTCTCCTTCCGTGCAAGGAGAGCTACGTGGGGATAAAGAGGCCATTTGGACTGTCATCCTTCCAACACAAGTCCATGACCTCCCACATTATCCATTTCACAGAAGGGGAGGTTGAGGCACAGAGAGTACCGCGCTGAAAGTACCTCGCTGAAAGTACCACGGGAAAGAGGCAGGTTTGAAATAGACATGCACTTATGGACAAATCCCTCCCCTGGGACTTGGATGATGGCTCTGTTAAGTGATCTTAAGAGATGCCGGACACATCGGTACCCCCACACCCAAAAACTGCCAAAGAAGCCCAGGGACGCTCCAGGCTGGTGGAGAAGAGAGCAGAGTTGTTCCCGGGGTGGCACAAATGATTAAGTCCTGGAAAGGCTCAAACCACCAGACTGCTTTAGAAGCAAGGCTCTGGGATGGCTTTCGAAAGGTCACAACCTTGGGGCTCCAAGGGGGTCCCCATGAGTCCACACGAACTCGTGGTATTTAACAACCGCTCACCAAGAACTGACTTTGTGCGCAGCTTACCTGCTAGGAATCCCGTCTCTTACCGTGCGCTCGCGGGCAAGCGGGCTCACCCCTCGGAACCCCTGTTTTCATTAGTAAAATGGGGACAAGGTGGCTTCCCTCTCAGATCCGAAGTCAGGGTGAAATACGATCGCGCAGGTAAGAGCGGGACTCCACTGAGCGGTTCATACCTGGGGCTTGGTCCCGGTCCCTGACCACCTGTGGGCGCCGCGCCCGGCCGCCCCCACCCCAGCGCGGAGCCGGACGG